TTTAAAGTATATAATAAAAATAGTATATGTTATCTAACCTTCATACACATATACACACCCTCTATCAGGGCACAGAAAAAAACTAGTGACAGCAACAAATTAAAAGTGGTTATCTGGCAAGATGGGGCATTTGAATCTTGTGTAATTTAAAATTTTTGGTCATTTTCTATTTTCATATGACATGATAAATGCTAACATATGCAACATGTACTCCTGAAAGAACAGTACCAAGTTATTGAAAAAGCTAGGCCGCATAGAAAGACGTTTGTTAGCAATGGGTGGCCCGGGGCGTTCCAAGGACAGGGTGTTTTCCACTATGTTCCTGCTGAAGCAACTGTGTCGTGCTTAGAGGTAGAGTTCTTTTCCTTCTAGGATTCCTTGAATGCACTTGGAGACCTCTTCCTTGTGGGTCTGGATTCTCCTTGGTTTGGAATGAGAAACGACAGGTATCCAGTAGTATCAGGAGGCTCAAGCAGATGACGGCTGGGATGTAAGTGCTCAGTGACTCGTTTAGTGCCAGTAACGTGAAGATAGCTCCTGGAAGGGAAAGTGAAATCTCTGAGTCTCCCTAGAAGCATGCAGGAGATCCAGGAGTTCTTGTTTCTGCAGCCCAAATTGAGCCATGTCAGCCCAACCCCCTCCCACTAAGCACACCCATAACCAGCTACCCTCATCACTGCAGCCTCGCAGACAGAACAGGACAAAGAATTAGAAGTCTTCTGAACTAATGCAGCCTCACTCAGAGGGCAGGAGAGAAGCAATCCAGCCAATAATGCAGAAGTTGAGGTGGAGAGGTTTGAGAACAAATTCTCTCTGATCCTTCTCCTGTCTTAATCTTATATTTACTGCAGAGGAGACAGCCTACGGACTGACTGTGGAGGGACACTCCAGAGGGAGGGGGAAAAAAGGCCTGGAGGAGGAGATGGCAGCTATGGTAACACAAGGCCATAGGCTACAATAGATACAATAGAAGAACCTAAAGCTATCTGGCATTTTAAGCTGTACCTGTCTTTGTCAATCAGCAATTCCTAAGGGCAGAACATCTATGAAGGGGGCCTTCTAGGACTGCCTGTCCTAAGGAAATTCTCTGCCTTCCTGCTTAGGGTCCCAGCTTCCCTGCTCTCTGCCCCCACCTGCCAAACATGTACGTCAAATGGCAGCTGTTACGCCATCCCCTCATTCCAGGAGCTGGCTGGTGAAGAGGTGGGTTTGGAGGCCCTGAGATTTCACTATATCCTTAGTGGGCTATACAGTCAACATAATTAAGGTAGAACCAGTATTTGACATAGATTGGTGTTAACAGGTAATGAGCTTAAAAAGCACCTGTTCTAGCCTTAAGACTATTACAGTTATGTTGAGTAGGAAGGAGGAAGTGGAGAAAGCATAGCCAGGGTGCTCCTTGCAGGCAAAGATGACAAAGCTCTGTCTCACATAATCTGGGCATGCTGTTAGGAAAGGCTATTCCTTAGAGAGGGATATCATGCCTGGAAAGGTGGAGGGTCAGCAAAAGAGAGGAAGATCTCTAACCAGATGTATTGACACAGTGACTGCAGCAACAGGCTCAAGTATGTCCAAAATTATGAGGATGGCTTAGGATAGGACAGGATTCAGAGCTATTGTTCGCAGTGACTATGTGTTGATGGCACATAGCAACAGGAAATATTTCTGATCTCAAGAAAGGCAAGCTAAAGCAGTAAGAAAGAATGAATATTTCGCTCTATCATCCTCCCCTATAAATTCCCATTCCCTCAGTCCAGCAGGCTCTTCTTACCAATCATGAGCAGCGTCAAAAGAAAGTTACTGATCTCTTGTAGAATTGGTGAGCCCAGGATGAGCAGCAACCCAGACAGCAGTTCCAACCAGCCCACAGTCAGTTGGTAGCTCATGGGATCTGGCTGGTAGCCGACCACCTTCAACGGGAACACCTCAGCAAACTGCACGAACAAGGCTTTCTAGGAGTAGCAGGGAATGCCCATCAGCCATACTCATCAAGAATTCTGGGTGCTCTGTGGTGCATTTTGGACCTGTGCCCTCACCTTGCCTCCTGGAAAGGAGATAGTCAGGTCTGGTTGAGGGCTGAGGTCAACCTGGGGAGAAGAGGATCTCTATGTGGGACTGAGCTTTTGAATCTGGAAGCAGGCTGTATGCGTCAACTGAGAACAGCCAAGTGGTGGTGCAGGGCTGGATGAATTTTTACTGCCACTGAGTCAATTTCAACTCAGAGTAACCCTTCATTAAGTTTCCAAGACTGTAAATCTTAATGGGAGGAAATTGCCCATTTTCTTCTCTGGGAGCAGCTGGGTTGGTCTCAAATGGTTGGTAGGACAGGCCTTTTGGTTAGCAGCGCAAAAAGCTCTGCCACCAGGTTACAAGTCTTCCCATCTAGTGCCAAGACCTTGGGAACCACACAGCTTCTATCTTTGTGCCAGCCTAGTTTCTCTTTCAGCTTCTTTGCAGGGGATATTTGGGGGAGGGAGAGGCTGGTGGGGCAGACTGTTGCTGATTAAATTCCACCCAACTCTTCTATGCTGGGTTCTCTTTCTCACTGTAACAACCAGAAAGGGTGTTGAGGGGGCTCACAGTGCCTCTTCCTGCTGAGTCAGGCTCTAACTCAACTGATAACTTTACCTTATTCTTTAGGTGGCTACTACCCCCTCCCCCCTGTCTGCTCAACGCTGACAAAGAAGCTACTCTAAGTTCAGGAATACCGATAGACTTCCCTATGCCATCCTCCGGCAGGAAGGGGAGGGTCTGGGAGAGGAAGGAGGGTAAGTATGGTTTTGGGGAAGTGCCAAGGCATTAACTGACGGGACGCAAAGGCTTTCCAATAGGTATAGAACCAGACTGGAGGAAGGAAAAAAAAACGTGCTGGCAGGCCTCGTCTAGTTTGAATTCTATCTCCTAACTAGTAGTTACACGCCTCGTTAGTAACAAAATTGGGTTAACAAGCTCGCCTTACCAGTCTCCCAAGTACTCAAGAGAACAATAAAGAGGGTCTGGCTTGGGGAGCGGAGAGGAAGGAGCTGGTATGGAACTTGGTCACTCTTCCATTCATTCCCTTCTTTTTCTTCCTCTCAGAGTTCTGGAGCATTCTAGCACGAAGTTTGCCTCGGGCAACCAATGCTAAACACAATGCTAAAATGAGGCATGGGGAGTTTCTGTTTAGGAAGATCCACATAAGTTGGAGAAACTCCCCAAAGGTGCCCATGCCGTAGCTGATGTCTGGTTCGTCCCCCTCAACCCGTTCATCCAAAGGAAGTCGAGTCTGCAGGGCGCAGGGGCGGGCAACCCAAGTAACGGCCGAGGTCCCCGCCCACACCTCACTGCTCACCATCTGCTGCGACACGGGAGCGGAGATCTGCTCCGAGAGCTTGGCCGCCCCCGTGAGCACGAAGAAGCCGCCGAGAAAGACGCGCAGAGCGGCGAGTAAGCAGGCCATGGCCGCGCGCGCCCTCCAGGGAGCGCGGTGCTCGCCGCGCCGAAGGTTGGCTCCGCCGAAAACCCGCCCCCTGGAGCCGGGTCATTTCCTCCCTCCGCGGGCGGCCGGGAAACCCGAGCCGGTAGCCTGCGTTTTTATGGCTGGCTCGGGGTGTCATCAGCCTCTTTGTGATCTGAGGCTGGGTGCTGATGCATCTGCACGGATAGTCCCCATTTTACAGATGAGGACACTGAGATCCACTGGCTCCTAACTAATAATCTACAGTTCACTTTACAGTTTTGAACAGTCGACAAGAGGTGTCAAACACTGACCTCTGGATCTACCTCACTTAAGAGCTCCTAGTATGAAAGATCTTAGGTCTTGTTCCTACCTGTCCCGCGCCTACTGTGGGACCTTGGCATGGTATTTGCATCTGTAAATGGGCACCCCGCATCATCGTACCTCCTGAGACAATTTTGAACAAGTCTAGCACATTATGGGAGCACGGATGGCCTACTCTATCAAGAGCTGCGCTGCCAAGCCAAAGGCACATGGTTCAAATCCACCAGCTGCCATGCAGGCAGTGCTGAAATAGCAACTCCTGGTGCCATTTATTGCCTCTGAAAATGGACTACAGTGTAAAGTATGAGTCGGTTCTAACTCTGTTAGTACATGCCATCAAGTGGGAACTGGCTCATAGCTGACCCTCAGTAGAGTTTTCAAGAGTCTGTAAATCGCATTGGAATTGATTGCACAGCTTTTTCTCTCACAGGGCCATTAGTGAATTCAAACCCTGTATTTTGGGGTTGGCAGTTTAACTCCTTACTACTAGACCCCAGATTGCCTTTGCAAATAAATAATTAGAAACTCTTGACACCAGCCACCAAAAAATCAAAAGACAAATTACATTGAGAAAATTTGTCAGGGACCTCTCCAGAGTACTGATGTCAGCAATGTCAGTATAGCAACTACCATGTGCCTGATCCAGGCCATGGTCTTCATAATTATTTGCTATGCTTCAGAGAGCTGGATAATGACTAAGGATAATAGAAGAATCGATGCCTTTGAGTTGTGGTGCCAGACAACAGTACTGAATATACCAAGGACTGCTAAGAGAACAAACAGGTCTGTCCTGGAGAGGGTGAAGCCACGCTGCTCCTTGGAGGCAAGGATTTTAAAGCTCCGTCTGACATACTTTGGGCATGGTGACAGGAGGGACCAGTTCTTGAAGAAGGGCATCATGCTTGAAAGGGTATGAGGACAGCACAAGAGTAAGACCCTGGACAGTATGGATTGACACAGTGACTGGGGTAACGGAGGTAGGTGTGTTAGAGACAATGAAATTGGCTCAAGATAGAACAGGGTTCAGAGCTTTTGTACACAGGGTCGCTATGAGTCACTAGTGACTCGTTGACAGCACATAACAACATAAAATTAGTTGTTCTTTCCTATCTCTGCCTGAATTAACTTTTTGTTTTCCTTTCTCTTGGCTGAAATTAAAATGTGAAAGGTGTTTCAAATATCCATATACTTGCAGTCATGGAAAGTGAGACATTTATTGCCCCCCTGCCATCTCTCGTAGTGGGGAATTTGTCTACAGCTAGCAGGGGCAAACTATAGGCTAAATTGAGTCAGCTACCTGGTTTTTATTGCTCATCCCCCTTCCCCAGACAACTAGTGATTAGTGATTTTTTCCCCCCACATTTTTTTAATGATGAAGGAAATTAGATTTCATGATATATAAATTATACAATATTCATATTTTAGAGTTTATAAATTAACATAGCCACATTTGTGTTCATCCTGTCTATGGCTACTTTTGCATTTCAAGCACAAAGCGAAGTAGCTGCAACAGGATGGCTTGCAAAGCTTCAAGTATTTACTGTCTAGCTCTTTATGAAAACAACTGTCATGCCCTAGTTTAATAGGGTACAGGGACCCCAAAAGGAGCCCTCAGATTCCCCTGGGTAAACAATGAATGTCCCAAGGGCTCTAAAGCCCAAACTATGTTAGCAACCAGGCTATGCTACTGCATAAATGTAGGCCTTTTGTGACTAATCCAAACCACTCAATCAATTGATAAAAAAGCTACATTCTCTACCTAGTCTATTATGTATAAACACATAATAAATTTTTCAACAAAAAGAAAAATTAAAACATTTAATCACTGGATACATAAATCCACAATAGGAAATTATATTTTAGGATATATATACAAAATTTGACACAAAATTAAAGACTTTAATGATAATATATACATTGCTATTCTTTTTCCTTCATTAACTTTTCTATCCTTGGTATTAAAGATGTGACTGCAAGTCTTAGGGCTGGACCAGAAACCAGCAAATCTCTTTGTTTTAACTCAGTCAAAGCTGAAAATGTAGCATCACATAGATAAATAGTTGAGAAAGGTAATAAAAACTTCATTGCCTTTTCATGGAGTTCTGGATAACTTGTCTTAGCATTTATCCAAAACTGAGTTACAGGCATTGATTTAAATACTGATTTTAATTCTAAATCTGAAGATAATTGTGTTAACTTTTCTTCTTCAAAGTCAGTGAGATTACTACTTTGGTGATTCATAAAGGGGTTGGTTATCCATAAGTTTCCTGAACACAAGTTGCCTTCTGGTAAGTAACAGTCATCGAACATTTGAGAAAGTCCTTCCAAGTGTTGAAAAATAATGCTTGTGATATTTCTCGTATTTAAATCTGATGATATTGAGAATTCAGAAAAAGAAGGGAACATATCATAATCGTTCTCCTGTGTGCGCCTCAACCACATTTTCAACTTTTTCTTAAATAAATCCATTTTATAATACAAACTGAAGAGTGTAGTCATAGTGCCTTGGAGACTTGAATTTAACTCATTTATAAGTGAAAATATATCAGATAAATAGGCCAGCTTTGCAACCCACTCCTCATCATGGAAACACTTTGCCAAATCCGAGTGTTTTTGACTTAAAAACATTCCAATTTCATACCGTAATTCAAATAATCTTCTTAAAGTTCTCCCTCTTGATATCCATCGTACTTCAGCATGAAGTGGTAGGTTCACATGATCACACCCCATCTCTTCACACAAAATTGTTAACAAACGTGAATTTAATGCATTGGTCTTGATAAAACTTACAATTTGCGCTGACTGCAAAAGAATTTCATGTAGGTATGGAGACAACTTTTCTGCTGCTATATGTTCACGGTGAATAAAACAACGTGTAAATGCCACTGTATTCATAGCAACTTCTTGAATTTTTGCCCTTAAACCAGAACACCTGCCAGTCATGCTTGCAGCCCCATCTGTACAGAGACCAACACAGTGTTTCCAATTCAGTGATTTACTATCAATGTATTTATTTATTAGTTCAAATATTTCAAAACCAGTTACTTGAGAAGGCATTTCAATGCAACACAGTAATTCTTCTTTTATATCATGACAATCATAATCAATGAAACGAATATAACACAAAAGAAGGGTGATAGTTGAAATTTCTGATATCTCATCTATCTGCAGGGCAAACCACTTTGACTCTCTGACTTTCTGAACCAGCTGATCTTCCACATCTGCAGCCAGCTCTTCAATCCTGTGTCCAATCGTATTATCAGAAAGTGGGATGGTTTTCATTTTGTCTCCAGCACTTGAACCCAAAACTTCTGAACACATTTCCACCAAGTAGGGTTTAATTAATTCTTCAGCAGTGGAAAATGGCTTCTTGCTGGTAGCAATTTGGAAAGCAATTAAATAAGATGCTTTCACAAGTGACTTTTCAACTAGTAGACATTTTTTTAAGCAACTGTTTTGACATTCCATTTCAAGAGATTTTTGTTCAAAAAAATCCACTGGTTTGTTTTCTAATTCGGAATGTTTTATCTTTAAATGATGAGAGAGATTTGCTGGCTTCATGTGTTCACTGGATAAAATTTCCCCACAAATGACACCCTGTGGCCTTGGTGAATTTTCTTTTGACCCTGGGCTGATGATAAAGCCAACTTTTAAATATTCTGCATCGTAAGTCTGGAAAAAGCCTATTCTCTTTTTCTTTGCAGGTGGAGAATCAAGTTCTGCATCATTTTTCTCAATAGGCACAGGTAAACCTGAATGAAATATGTAAATGGCTGTTACTCTCACATATAAGAAGCAGTGTTCTTTATGACTTTCTTCATACATTAAAAAACTGTCTCATCACTATTAACATTTATCAAATGAACAGACTGATTAAAAACAAAGTATAATACCTCCAATTGCCATTAAGAAGTTAATTTCTGCATTGCCCAAGTTTGGTCACTCACTGCAAATAAATTTGTAGGCTATGAAAAATGTACAAGTAATCTCATGTATACAATAGGTTACTAGATTTAGCCCTGAATGCATAAAATTTAAGAATAAATTAACTTAATTTCAAGAAGTACAAGAAAAGGGAGAAAACATTTTACAAAATATTACCATTTGTTATACTGCTGTCATTGTACTTTTTTGCCACTCTACTAAATTTTCAATGTTGGAGAAAAATGTTAGTACTTCATGCCAGGGAATGGACAGAGACATGACCTCTCCTGAACACTTTGAGCATAAATTGATTTAACTTTTCTAAGAGCAATTTATTAACAACATATATTAAAACCCTTAAAAAATCTAGAATAGCTTTTGATTCAGTACTTTATATGCTTATGATTTAGCCTAGATGAGTGCACAAAGATCCATTTACATGTCTTAATGAAACACTGTTTATAATACTAAAAACTGGAAGTAATCTAAATGTCCCAATATTTTTGTTGTTCTTATTGCATGTGTGCAGAGTTCAACTGCTCCATAGGGTTTTCAAGGCTATACCTTTTCAAAAGACAAGAGGCAGATGTGTTTTCTGAGACACTAGTAGTTGAGCCCTTAACCATTTAAATTGTTGTTGTTGTGATGTGTCAGAGTTGCCTGCAACTCATAGCGACCCTATAGACAACAGCCCTAACCTCTGCCCTATCCTGTCCACATCTGTTGCCCTATCTGCTAGTTTAAGTGTGTTCTGTTGTACATAGGGTTTTCAAAGGTGTGCTATTTCAGAAGTGGATGGCCAATATGTTTGAGTCTGTAGTGGTAAGAAGCTGCACTGCAATCTCAAATGCACATGATTCAAATCCACCAGCTGCTCTGCAGGAGGATGGGCATGCGATTTATAGCCCTTGAAAGTATACAACAACAACAAATGTTCATGAAGAATGTTAATGCATATTTAAATTTATACAAATGTGAAATATTATTTACAAGCTATCAATAAGATGTAGTCTACTAACAATACACAGAAAATAACCACATATTTATTTTAGAAATTAAAAAAATATATGTAAATATGCACACCCATGTTTATTGCAGCTTTGTTCACATTAGCAAGGAGTTGGAAACAACCTAGGTGCCCATCAACAAGCGAATGGATAGAGAAGCTGTGGTATATTCGCACAATGGAATACTATGCTGCATTAAAAAACAAGGAACTCATGCAATATTATTCAAAATGGTTGACTCTGGAGAACATTATGCTGAGTAAAATATCCCAGTCACAAAAGAACAAATATTACACGATGCCACTGTTGTAGAATGAGACTGACCTCGGGGTTAGGGAGACACTGAGTAAGATGGGTTCAATAATGTATACTGCACTGAAACAGAGGAGGGAGAAAACTGTTTAAAAGAGATACGTGATTAGGTATTTCTGTCATGACTGGAGTCTAGAGCGATGGCTACATGGTGGAGTGGACCTGGGGGAGGGTCTGTAAAACAATGAAAGAATCTTTTACTTTTCCAAGAGGATAGTGTTCAGGGGTGGGGGGGAGCCTTGGGAGGGGACAAATCTACAACAATGAATGAATGGAAATCCAAAGCCTCTATAAATTTTCACTGAAATTAATAACAAATTTAAATTTAAAAGAAAAAAATATATGTAAGTACCCCCCACACATTTAAGATCCTTTACTACTCTCCAAATGTACTTAATGTCCATGCCATGTCCTGTGAAATAAGACATTGCTTAAATGACTAGGATCTTGTGTGAAAACCATATTATATACAAGCAGTTCCCAGATTACAAACAAATTCTGTTCCTAAATCAGTCTTTAAGCGGAATCTGTTTTAAGTTCCAACTGTTAAGTACAGTTCATATGTAAGCAAATTAGTTAAATGTCTTAGTATATATTAGAGTGTGCCTTTCCATGCTTAAAGAAGCACCTCCATATACATAGTAATAATGTCTTCATACATGTTTCAAAATATCATCTACTTACTATCACAATATGTACTTCACATATTACTGTGTATACCTCATATTTTTATTATATTAATATAAAAGGTTTTACAGGGACTGAGATCACAAACTACAAATGTATATGTCATGTGCCCATTATGTCAGCACTATGCAGTATGTGACTATGAAATACAAATTCATGTATACACACAGAATATCATTTTAACAAGAATATAATCAGATCTACCGAAGAAGAAAAATATGCTTCTCCTTGATTCTTCTCAAAGAGCTCTGATGGCCTAGTGGTCAGAAGCTGCACCAAAAGAGAGTCTCCCTACATAAAAATTCACAAGTATACTTTATGAAGTAAAATTATTATTGAAAATAAAAATCAAAAGATGTTTGAGGAAAAGAAGGCTATTAAAGCAACTTGGAGGCAAGGATTCTCAAGCTTCATCTGACATACTTTGGACATGCTGCAAGGAGGGATCACTCCTTGGAGAAGAATGTCATGCTAGAGAGGGTGGATGGACAGTGCAGGAGAGGAAGACCCCCAACGAGATGGACTGATTCAGTCACTGGGGTAATGGGGATATGTGTGTCAGAGACAATAAGACTGGCATAGGATAGAGCAGGGTTTAGGTTGCTATAAGTTGCAGAAGACTCAATAGCACATAACAACAACAAAAACCAATAAATAAGAGCATTGTGATTAAAAGTAGTTAACAGGACCTAAGCAAGTAGTTTACAATCTTTTAAAAAGTTTAACGTCAAGCAATTTTCCTGATCACCAGAGGATATTATTTATACTGTAACAACTCTATCCATATCTCTTTTAAAAAGAGAAATGAGATTAAAACAGTAATGCTTTTAGCAAAGTTTTTATCTTAGAAATTATCTTGCCTATTAATTTGAAAACAGTGCCAACACATAAAAAATGTTGGCCCGCTCTATACATAATGCTTTACGTGTATGTGAACTCAATTTAGTAATTATTGTAGTTAGTAACAGTAATTATAAAAAAATTAATTGCTCAAAAGTTATGTGATCACAGAATTATGTCAATTCAAGAAATTGACAATTACTTCTCCTTTCTTTAGACACACACAGAGAAAGCAAATTCCTATGATTAGAAAGCACAAGAACACATACCTGTCTGGCATTCCTTATGTTGCATATGTGGTTTGCAAGAAGTGGCCTTGGTCTGTGTGACAGGCTTACACAATATTCCTTTGTTCTTTAAGAGCCTGGAAGGTTGGGAAGATTGAGAAGACAGGAGTTTCATGGCATCTGTCTGTGTAATTCTCTAGTTAAAAACAAATTCAGAAACCAAAGAGATTTGTTTTAGTACCGCATCACTGACTAACTGCTATCAATTGAAAGGTGGTACATAGTAAGACTGCAGAGAAGACATAGGGATATACTTGCTGAGAAATAGAATACCTCTGAAAAGGTAGCTGTTGTAAAGAAGTGACCTTGAAAGAACTGTTCTAATTACTCATTGTCCTAATCCTTATCAGTTCCTTCTAATGCTTCTTAAAAATACTCTGCCTATAGTAAGATCAAAACAAAGAAAATAATCATTATTGGCTATGAAAACAGATTTTTTTTCCTTCCCCCAAAGTCCAACCCAACCTCAGACTATAATAAAATAATACATCATTCCATGTTGATTAAAGACTTTAATATAAAAAAATAAAACACCAAAAACACCCATAAAAATAACTGGAGACCTTTCAAATGACCAAAACACAAAAGAAAGTATTTTTAAATAAAACACAGAAGATAAAACCAAGGTTGAAAACACTGGTATATTTGACTACCTCAAAATTGAAAATGCTGGGGACAAAATTCTTTACTTATAAAGAATAAAAGATAAGCAACAATAGTTGAGGAATGTATTTAAAACATATTTATTCATTTGATAAATATTTCATGACTATTTACTATATGCCAGGCATTTTTTAGTGCTGGAGATAGAGCAGAAAACAAGACAAAAACCTGTCCTTATGTAATTTAAATTCTAGAGGGACACACAGAAAATAAACAAGTAAAACAAACATATAATGAATAGGGAGTGATAGAAAAACAAAGCAGCAAGGGAATGGAGAGTGATCGCAGTAGGTGGGGTAATTTAGGAGTAAATATTTGAGGAGAGATATTCTGAATTAATTCAAAAGAGCAAGCAAGGCATAAAAACATCAAGCAGAAGGCAAGGGAAATGTAGTGGAAAACTGAAAAAGCTAAAGAGTTCAGCACCCTTTAAGTCCATCAACAGCAGTGGGAGAATAATAAATCTAGAGACGGGCAGATGTCAAATGATGTAGGCTCAGAAGGTCTTGGGGAAAAAATTAGGTTTGTATCTAAGTGTGACAGGAAGTCACTGGAGGTTCCATTTCTTAAATAAGTAGTACATACATTCAGTACAAAATTCAAAAGGTATAAAAGGGTATACATGAAAATTAAGTTTTCTATGCCTAGCTTCCATCCCTCCAAACTCAACCTTGAACACCACCACTCTTCTCAGCTTCTGATGTTTCTAAACATGGTTCAATTCAGTAAGTTGTTTCCTACTGCCAATTATTAACTAGATCTAATACCTTACTTTTTTTGTCACTTAGAAAGCTGTCGAAATATGGTAACAAGATTGTGTAAAACCTGCTAGCAGCTGTGTAATGTGTAATTCAGTCGTTTGAACAATTCCTACTAATCCATTGTTGTTGTTGTTATTATGTGCTGTCGAGTCGCTTGCGACTCTTAGTGACCCTATGTACAACAGCCCTAAACTCTGCTTTGTCCTGTGCCAATCTCACTGTCTCTGACATTCCCATCCCGATTATCCCAGTCACTGAATCAATCCACCTCATAGAGGGCCTTCCCCTCCTACGCCGTCCCTCCACCCTCCCAAGCATGATGTCCTTTTCCAAGGACCTGTCTCTCCTCACAAGATGTCCAAAGTATGTTAGAAGGAGCCTCAGAATCCTTGCCTCCAAGGAGCCACCTGGTTTAACCCTTTCCAGGATCAATCTGTTTGTTTTCCTAGCAGTCTATGGTATTCTCAATACTCTTCTCCAGCACCACAGCTCAAAGGCATCAATTCTTCTTTTATCCTCCTTGGTCATTGTCCAACTCTCTGATGCATAACAAGTGATTGCGAAGACCATGGCCTGTATCAGACGCACCTCAGTCTCCAGAGAGACATCATTACTCTTCAGTACTTTGGAAAGGTCCCTAACAGCAGACTTTCCCATGGCAATGTGCCTTTTGATTTCCTGGCTACTGATGCCAAGAGTGTTGACTGTGGAGCCAAGCAAACTAAAGCTGTGGACAATCTCAATCTCTTCACCATCTATCCTAATGCAGCCAATTGGTCCAGTGGTGAGAATCTTTGTCTTCTTGACATTGAGCCTCAATCCATATTGGAGGCTGCAGTCCTTGACCCTCTGCAGCAGGTGCTTCAGGTCCTCTTCAGTTTCAGCAAGCAGGATTGTGTCATCTGCATAATGCAGACTGTTGATAAATCCACCAATCTTGACCCCACCGATCCATTACTGACTGTATAATTCAGTAATCTGAATAGTGCCTGCTGATGAATGTGTAACACATCTATAAATAATGCTCCAATGACTATCTATGTTTACACACAAAAAAAATTCTACATATGCTAGCATGTCTATAACATCTTAGTGGTGCTATAGTTCGTTAAAAGTTTTCAGTTACCACTGATGGTGGTATTCTTAGGTCCTCCCAAGTAGACTAGGGCTTACAGCGACCCTATGAACAACAGATCTGAACTTTTCCCTGTCCTGGGCCATGATCAGGATCTCTAAAATGCTTGAGTCCACCGTTAAAATCAGTGCCAATACATCTTGTTGAAGATCTTCCCCTCTTTTTCTGACCTTCCACCTTTCCCAGCATGATGGTTTTTACCAAGGACTGGTCCCTCGTAAAACTTGCCCCAAGTACGTGAGATGAAGTTTCACCATCCTTGCTTCTAAGGCGCACTCTAGTTAACACTTCAACCAAGACAGACTTGTTTGTTGTTCTGGCAGTCCATGGGATAGGTTATGGTTCTCCAACACCATAATCCAAAGACATCAATTCTTATTCACTGTCCAACTTTCTGCTGCTTAGGAAGCAACGGAAAACACCATGGCTTAGATTAGGCACACCTTAGTCTTAAAATTAACATCATTACTCTTTAGCACTTTGGAGAGGTCTTTGACAACAGATTTCTCAAAAGCAACACGCCTTTTGACTTCATGGGTGTTGATTGAGAATACAAGTAAAATGAAGTAACTGACAACTTCAATCTTTTCTCCATGTATTATGTTACTTACTGTTCCCATGGTTAGGATTTTTTTTTTATGCTGAGTTGTAATCCATATTGAAAACTGTAGTCTTTGATCTTTTGTGCATGTGTTCTAAGTTCTCTTACTTTTTCTGAAAGCAAAATTGCCTCATCTGCATAATGCAGTTGTTGTGTCTTCCTCCAATACTGATGTCATCTTCTTCTTCATAATCTAGCTTCTCAATTATTTGTTCAGCATACAGACTAATTTGGTATAGAGAATGAATATTATCCTGATGCACACCTTTCTTGATTTTAAATTATGTAGTCTTCCCATACCAAAGGAATGTCTATCTGTGTTTCATTGGCTATGCAAAGGCGTTTGACTGTGTGGATCATAACAAACTGTGGCTGACTCTGAGAAGAATGGGAATCCCAGAACTCTTGATCGTGCTAATGTGAAACCTATAATTGGACCAAGAGGCAGTCGTTAAAATAGAGCAAGGAAACACTGCATGGTTCAAAATTGCAAAGGGCATACACAAGGGATATATCCTGTCTCCATACCTTTTCAACCTGTATTCAGAACAGATTATCCAGGAGGCTGGGCTTTATTAGGAGAAATGTGGTGTCAGGATTGGTGGAAGATCTATCAATAATCTGCGTTATGCAGATGACACAATCCTGCTTGCTTAAACTGAGGGGGACCTGAAGCGCTTGCTGTAGAGGGTCAAGGATTGTAGCCTTCAATGTGGATTGGGGCTCAATGTCAAAAAGACCAAGATTCTCACCACTGGGCCAATTGTCAGCATCAGGATGAATGGTGAAGAGATTAAGATTGTTCACAGCTTTAGTTTGCTTGGCTCCACAGTCAACACTCTTGGCACCAGTAGCCAGGAAATTAAAAGATGTATTGCGATGGGAAAACCTGCTGTTAGGGACCTCTCTAAAGTACT